ATGTCAGTGTCTCTCAATGGCAATGATCTCTACATCTAAACTAATTTTTTATGTTGAAAAATGAATAATGATTACGTGTAATAAGTTAGCATACTGTATAAATGTATTACTATTAGAGAAAAATAAAAAACACAAATGATTATATTATGCGTCAATATATACTGTAATAATAATCCTTAATCAAATAAATAATAATTTTAATTAAATATCGATCGCCCAAACAAAATATGAAAGTAAACGCAAACAAAATATAAATCAAACATATTTAATATTTGATATACCTGTATTAATAAATATACAATATGTTAATAATAGAAATAGTATAGAATAATCTGAATTAACAGTGTAATATTATTAATATTAGTTATTATTAGGTAATATACTCTACTACAATATGTCACATTATTGTATTCCGTGTAAATTAACTCAAATTATACTTAATAATAATAATAATATGAGCACCGGTATTTCAGACATCGTGTTGGGCATTTCCAAAGCAGTGTATAAATTTTAGAAAATATAATTAAATTTACAATTTCTTATAAGTATGTTTGTAAAATAGTTTACAGTTATCAATGAGACCCATGGTCAAGTTTGTAACCAAATAGCATTTCTGTTGCCAATTATTGAAAATTATTCAAACTTAAGGTTTGTTTTACTAAATAGTTAATAGATTTCAGTATTTATACTGTATTAATATAATTTTTAATATTTTTCCCATCCAATATAAATGGAAATAAAATTAATAATAAATATGTTTCCAGTTATAGACTACGTATATTAAAGTATGACATAAATTCAGTCCTACAAAGCAATGGTATATTGAGTATGAAGTTTTACTACAAAAAGGTATTGTATATTTATGCAATTTACATTGATTATTATTAAATAAATACAATATAAGCGTATAATCTATAATAAATTTAGTATCATTAACCCCCTACTCATTCAGTAATAGATTATTATATTATTTTAGATTGTTTAATTATTATAAACAATATTAATGTAATATTCTACATTTACAATTACTATAATTATTTTTACAGTTATTTCATATGCTTATGTGGTTATATGTGGTTGATGAAAATAGATATAAATTATTTGACTTTGCTCATTTATCTGTCGGAAGATATTCATCTATATTATATTCACATTGCTTATAAATTTATCCAAAAGGTTTGGTAATAAGAAGTTATCACTCGAAGTACTTGCTATCGATTTGGTTATTCATGTCATTTGTGGTCATCAATGTATTCATGAATGACATCCGATCTATGGTTATACTCACCAAAGAGGATGTCATCAAAAGTATGGATCAACTCATGGATAGAGATGTGAATATTTTTATGAAAAAATATAGTTATGAATATAAAACTATGGAAAATGTAACTAAAAATCATTTTATTATTATTATAATTATATAATTGTTATAAAACTGATATCTTTTTTTGTTAGCAATCGTGGCATTTAATGCAAAGGTTTAATATCACACTTAAAACATCCATAGAGTTGTCATCCATTAAAACTATACTACAGTTGAAGTACAATCGGAGTGTCATTATAGGCAGCAGTGGAACGACATATAGATTAATGAATCTCTACAATGAGTACCGTTTGCGGCGAACAGAAGGAAATGGATCTATAATATTGACGGGAATACCCATTAATAGGGGTCTCAATCATACCATCAAACGACAACTCAATAAATTGTAAACTAATTGATATTTTTGATATAACAGATTACTGTTATTTATTATAATAATTTATATTTTTACTAATATGATTTACATTGCTAATAGATTCGCGCGAATATATCACTCATCAATAATCAATCACAAATTTAAAAAGAACCAGTTATACAATAAAATCAATTATGCCAAATTACATGTCAGTGAACCACAATGGTTTAATGTAGAAAGTTCATGTAATTTTACTCTCAAAAATATTTTATTTATAGTGATTATATCAATTGTATTTTTAGCTACTTCATTCATAATCTTTGTAATTGAATTATTATGTTCTATCAGATATAATGTATAAATATTTTTTAATAAAAAATACTATTTATAATATTATATTACTGTAAATAGAATCTTAATTAAATTGTCATACAAATAGTAACTTTCATTATATAAATGAGTTTTTATTATAACATTTTTAAAAGATAAAGAATTAATTTAGGTACTGAAAGCATAACGAATACGTTAGTATAGTATACATTTTATATAATAAATGATTTATGACTATTGATCTTTTAAACATTATTAAAATTATTACAATAGAATATTTTAACAAGATGAATAAATAATATATTTTGTATTATTTTTATATTAGCATAAATTATAATAGAATATTGAAAGTAAAATAGAATATTCCTTAAACAAGAAAAAATGTATTTCATTTTGTACTGAATATTCTATATAAAATAATTTATTCGGTTATATCATATAAATTATACATGCTCAATAGTTAGTAAGTGATGCTTTATTAATTGAGAAAGAATTTATATTATTGTTTAATTTATTAACTTTATTAAAAAAAATATCAATACAATATTATTATTATATTTCTTATGTTTAATAATAATGAGTTATCACTCAAAACATTTGCTATCCATTTGGTTATTTGTATTGTTTATTGTAATAAATCTATTCAATAATGACATCCGATCTATGATTATACGCACCAAAGAGGATATCATTGAAAGTATGGATCAACTGATGGATAGAGATGTGAATATTCTGAAGATGTGAATATAGGATTATGACAAATGTAATTATAAATTAATTTTGAAAGTCAAAAATTTTACATCAATGTTTTATTCGTTTAATTAGCAATCATGGAGTACACAAAGGTTAAACGTGCAATTTAAATCATTCACAGAATTGTCCAGTCTGAATACTATGCTGCAATTGAAGTATAGTATAACTGGAGTGTCATAATCATCGACAGCTGTCCACAAACCATTTGAAGACATTTTATATTGAGTATGGATTGCGAAAAGCCGACGGCAACGGATCCACTATTTTGATAGTAATACCGTTCATAAGGGTCTCAATCGCACTATTAAATGACAACTTAATATAATGCATATAATTATGATTATATTGGCAATAATTTTACAATTTTATACATAGGTTTAGACGATTAGATATATTATTGACATTGAAATAAGTTTATTATTATATTACTTGGAGAATTAGCATATTTTCATAAACACTTTAGATTTAAAATTAGACTCAAATAACTTTATAGTCAATACAGTTCACCATCAGGTTTTGTGAACACCAAGTTTTATGAAAAATCGGGAATTGTGAACTAATTGTCAAAACCAATAACCACTTGCATAGGAGCTAACGTTAAATTATACCCACTTTTGTGAACTCAGGTTTTATGAAATACCCTTTTTTATGAACCAAAGGAGACAACCTTTTATATACAAATCAATAGAAAATTAACTCAAGTTTTATGAACTAAAAATCAAACTGTATTATAAAAGTATGAATATTTTAAACTTCAAAATTATTAACACTATTTTCATTTCTACTCTACATATTTTTGATACATTCTCTTAATATTTATGCATAATTCTATAAATACAAAATAACGGACTAAAAAGAACAATGTTAATATATTATAGTAAGTTGCCCAACTTGGCAACCATAATTTTATGATTCTTATATAAAGTACTTTCAATGATAAAATTAAATATCTCATTTACATTGTTATCAGATTACAAATTGATTACTAATAGCTTAAAATTTTTAATGTAATAAATTAATAGTTTGGCAGAAATAAAATCAAATAAATTTTTACATTTAATAAGTTAGTTAAATCTTGGTTGTCAGTTATAACTGTTAAATAATAGTTTACCACTTTTT